AAAAACCCTCATAATGCTAATAATATATTTTTAATGCCCCTTGTAAAGATGACAGAGGGGAAAAAAGGGATGATGGGAAAGACCTGTGTGATACTCCAAGTGACTAACACCAAGATGGGCCAGCTAGTGTCACTAATGCCCAGGTGCTGGAGGTGGTTTGGCTTGGACTGGATTCATGGACAAATCAACACTGAACTGTTCTAGTAACTCCAGGAGAGGCTTGTTCTGAACTAGGAGCACATTTTTCTCCTTCTCTGAGGTCTTATGTCACTTATAACAGCATCTTATTTTATGACCAGAGTGCCCATGTACCCGTGCCCTCTGGACCTCAGCTTTCTCATCTGCAAGGCAATGAGGTTCTACACTTGACCTTGACCACGCATCAGAACCCTCTGGAGGGCTCATGAATACACAGATTTCTGGGCTCCACCCTCAGAGTTGCCCACTCAGTGGGTAGAATTGGGGCCAGAGACCTGGTATCTCTAACAGGATGTGGGGAGGCTGAAGCAGCTGACCAGGGGACCACATTCTGAGAACCACAGCATTAGAGACCCTCCTTCTCTCACACCGAAAGGATTCCAGTACTTTGCTGCCCTGCACCTTTGCCATTAAGGGCCGTGCTGCTTCTTGGTTCTCAGCAGCTTGTTCTGTTCCTCTGGATCTATCCCGGGTAGAGCATGTGAGTTGTCCATTCTCTGAATGCTGAACAACAGTCCCCAGACTGGAGCTGGCCGATGTTAAGGAAGTCACCCCCGAATACACCTAGATAGCCACTCTCCCCACCCTACCACCTCCTACTCGCTGCCCCCACTCATCACATACTTGACAAGACCACTCCGTAATCATGTCAAAACACGGACAAAGCAGGAACTTGTCCAAACCACCAAAGTCACCCCAACGTCCCTGGGTCCTGGCTCCTAGAAGAGACCGCTGCTTCTTCACCAACCCCAGCCTTTGTCTGGTCTTCCCCGCTTCTCGGGTAGGAAGATTAAGACGCCTGATCAGGACTCACCCCTGCTTCCTGACAGCATCCAATCCAGTGTGACACCCGGCTTCCTTAAATGCTCCCCAAAGCACCAGACACAGGCCCCACTGCTACGTGTGGTCCTTCCTGACCCCCTCTCACTGTGATGCCCCGCGGGTCCCCATGGTACACGGCTGTTCCACTGCAGGTGCTCCTGAAGGGGGGGGCAGGCAGATGGAGGGCAGTGATGGCTCCTAGCCAACTTGCACATTTCAACTCAGACACAGTCTCCTCAAAGACACTGTCCTTACCCCTCTGCAGCCTAAGTCAGATCCCCCCTCTCTAATCTCCTTTCAGGAGACCTACCTGGGCTTATAATTACACATCGTTGTAAGTACTGCACTCAAGCCTACCTCTCCCACTAGACTGAGAAGCCCAAGCCGGCAGGCCTGTGTGTGCTGTGCGCCTGCCGCTGGCACAACACTGGGCACAAAACAGGAGGTCAATAAGTACTGGATGGATAGAATACTGACCACTGTGTGCAACTGACTTTAAAACAATTACAGGGACTTCCCTGGTGGTGCAGTGGTTAAGAATCCGCCTGCCAATGCAGGGGACATGGGTTCGAGCCCTGGTCCGGGAAGATCCCACATGCCGCGGAGCAACTAAGCCCGTGCGCCACAACTACTGAGCCTGTGCTCTAGAGTCCGCAAGCCACAACTACTGAGGCCAGTGCCACAACTACTGAAGCTCACGCACCTAGAGCCCATGCTCTGCAACAAGAGGAGCCACCACAATGAGAAGCCTGAGCACTGCAACGAAGAGTAGCCCCCCGCTCGCTGCAACTAGAGAAAGCCCGCGTGCAGCAACGAAGACCCAACGCAACCAAAAATAAATAAATAAATATATTTTTTTTAAAAAAAACAACAATTACAAATACGAAGGTTAATCAGAGAATGTCAGCAACACAAAAAGAACTGAAGCCATCCGAGAAGAAATAAGCAAGGTCTGTGCAACCAGGAGGGTAGCAAGGCTTTGCCCCAGCCATGACGGATGGAAGGTAGTAAAGTAAAGGTCATGATTGATAAAGGTGGAGTCTTTTCTTCCATTTCTAACTGGAGCCTGTTTGTGGAGGCACACGTTATACTCATTTTAGCTTTAGCTGATTTAGCATAAAGCAGTCTAGCACCACCAATACGATACAGTGCTAACGACAATCCAAACTTTGTTTTTACTCTGGAATTCTTTAAATGGAAATCCTTCGCTGGGTTTGCACATCCTCCACGACTCACAAATTTCAGTGGTAATAATATTTGTGCAGCTGTAATTACAAGACCCTTTCCCTGCATCTGGCACTGAAGGCACCTCCCCGCAAACTCAGATGGCACATTCTGACTGGGCTTTTGTAAGAGGCCATTTCACAGTTAACTGACTTCATTTCAGTGTTAGGGATTTGATACTTTGCACTTGTTTTTCAGATCAAAGACTATGCAATACAGCTTTACTGTGTTATCCATCAAGGGAAAAATCCTTATCAGACCTGGTAAGAATGGAAGTATATCAAAGTGATAAACTGGACAAATCTTCTGAAAACCAAAGAGATACGGGAGACTGGGGGACGGGGGTTTGCCTGTGTGTACACACACACCTGCTTCAGAAACAGCACTGTTAGGTGTCTCCACTGGAAGACATACAGAATAAACTGTTAAATACCTGTACTTCATCACAAATACACTGCTGAAGATGCTTAAGAAAACAGCACGTGATCTTTAGCCCCCAAATTACTACCAGCATCTCAAATCCCACTCTAAACATTTTAATGAACTAAATGACAGCATCCATTTTACTCTTAGCGCCTCAAAGTATTAACACCTGAAATAAATGAAAATCACTTTCGGCGCCCCCCGCCCCCTTTGTAATGGTTACAGTAAAAAAGATTAAGCCGGGCTTCCCTGGTGGTGCAGTGGTTGAGGGTCCGCCTGCCGGCGCAGGGGACGCGGGTTCATGCCCTGGTCTGGGAGGATCCCACGTGCCACGGAGCGGCTGGGCCCGTGGGCCATGGCCGCTGAGCCTGTCCGGAGCCTGTGCTCTGCAGCGGGAGAGGCCACAACAGTGAGAGGCCCG